TTTAACAATCGCATTGTAATAAAGTCGAATATCCAGATTAAGACGTTGAAACGTTAAGTTAAAATCTTTTACCGAATTTACTGACATTTCTGAATATTAACGTCTTTTCAAAGCTTACAATTTCGTTTTTAATTATGCATTATGTCAGTGGATAAGGAAATCACGTTGAATAATCTAACTAAAATATAATCAAATTCAATTGTTTTTTAAATCCTTATCAAAATTTTCACAAATTAATTTTAACTTTATTCCTTTTATAATATTTTTATAAATGATACCAATTAACATTATAATAAAGTCGAATATCCAGATTAAGACGTTGAAACGTTAAGTTAAAATCTTTTACCGAATTTACTGACATTTCTGAATATTAACGTCTTTTCAAAGCTTAAAAATTTCGTTTTTAATTATTCATTATGTCAGTGGATAAGGAAATCACGTTGAATAATATAACTAAAATATAATCAAATTCAATGGTTTTTTAAATCCTTATCAAAATTTTCACAAATTAATTTTAACTTTATTCCTTTTATAATATTTTTATAAATGATACCAATTAACATTATAATAAAGTCGAATATCCAGATTAAGACGTTGAAACGTTAAGTTAAAATCTTTTACCGAATTTACTGACATTTCTGAATATTAACGTCTTTTCAAAGCTTAAAAATTTCGTTTTTAATTATTCATTATGTCAGTGGATAAGGAAATCACGTTGAATAATATAACTAAAATATAATCAAATTCAATGGTTTTTTAAATCCTTATCAAAATTTTCACAAATTAATTTTAACTTTATTCCTTTTATAATATTTTTATAAATGATACCAATTAACATTATAATAAAGTCGAATATCCAAATTAAGACGTTGAAACGTTAACTTAAAATCTTTTACCGGTTTACTGACATTTCTGAATATTAACGTCTTTTCAAAGCTTAAAATTTCGGGTTTAATTATTCATTATGTCAGTGGATAAGGAAATCACGTTGAATAATCTACCTAAAATATAATCAAATTCAATTGTTTTTTAAATCCTTATCAAAATTTTCACAAATTAATTTTAACTTTATTCCTTTTATAATATTTTTATAAATGATACCAATTAACATTATCAGAAAGAATAGTGGGCAAGTTAATTAGTAAGTTGATTGATTGGGAATTTCCGGACGTACTCGTATCTCGGGTCCGGAAGGTTGGTGGCGCGTAAACTGAGTAGTTGTCTCTTCTGATATAATTAAAAGTGTTTAATACGTTGTTATAGCAACGTATTCGGTCAAAAAAATTACTCTTATGATGTCTGTTTGCTTTCCGATATTCAACCTAAGTTGGATCTCAAATTAAAGAACGTCACTGTACATACAATGTCTTTAATAGTTAAAATTTCGTCTAAATCAATTATTTTGAACGATTTTGTCTGAAACAGTACCAAATTACACACGTGTCCAATCATTATATGAGTAGTAAACTCTTATGAAACAACGAATTGGCTCGTAGCACGGCAATTTTACGAGCGTGCACCGCAAAATTGGCCGAGATGCTGTAGCTTTTAATGTAATAAATTCAACACGGACATTCATCGAAAATTACGCATATTACCCCATGACCAACATTCGAGACTGAATTGATACAAAATATGCTAAGGAGGAGGAGCTCGATGGCGCAGGTGGTTAGCGCGTTCGGCTGCGATCGTTGAAGTTAAGCAACTTTCGCAGTGGTCGGTCTTTGGATGGGTGACCAAAAATTTACTATCTCGAGCTCCTCCGTGCTTCGGAAGGCACGTTAAGCCGTTGGTCCCGGCTGCATCTGCAGTCGTGAGCACCCACCAATCCACACTGGGCCCGCGTGGTGGGTCATGGCCCGGTTTCCCTACTCCATCCATAGGGAAGGCCTGTGCCCCAGCAGTGGGGACATTAATAGGCTGATGATGATGATGCTAAGGAGAAAACCTCTTCGGTTATTGTTTATGGTATCATCATTTTCCCGTCACTAAAACTTATATTATAATACCTTATTATTACAAAAGGCTTAAGGACTTTTTGGCGGGATCGGAGAGCGTCACTTTAACAGTTTTGTTTTTCTTGTTAAAAATTGTGTTGTGGCGGATGTTAGTGTCTAATAATGGTGGATTATTAACCATTAAGTGTTCGGGAACATGCACAAGTGTTGGCAAGTGAAACAAAATAGCGGAAAGTGTCTTTCGACGTTCCCTCAAGAAGTCCACGGGGAGGTTCCATTAAATCCCCACACATTTACTGAATCATAGGGAAAGGGGGATTGACTTGACTGCCACTTACTTTGACTTGATTTGTTACTTTGACCACCAGTGCTAAACATTTATAACACTTGACATTGGCTAAATGCATAAGTCGTGCGAAGCCATTTAGGAAAAAAAAAGGCTTAAGAAACCTTTCTTAAGCCTTATTTTGTATCCTATTATACTCCCATGCACCTGCATGGGTGTATAATAGGATACAAAATAGAAATAGCTACCGAAAAATTCACTCTCACGCCATTCCTGGGTTAAAACGACAAGGGACATAATAATAAAAATCTTACTCATATAAATGCGCAAATTTACCTTACATGAATACTATGAAACGAGGTAAATGAATTCGAAAAAGTATGTAATGAAGCTGAACGATGTAACGAAAACATTTAACTCGCGGTGTAATCTGTAGGTATTCACTAGACATGTGAATATAATCATTTTTTGTCACAAACATGTTAACTAATTCGATAAACTTATATAGATTTAAAAAAAATCGTTCCGCATGTCTCCATTGCCATTTTACTTATGACCATAAAAAGAAAACATTCTTTTTACGACATTTCAAATAGGTTAATAATGTAAATGCATCATAAAAAGAATATCTTCAATATAGCGTCGCAGGTGTATGAAGGTATAGAGAGCAAAGAGGATTCTGAGCTCGTCGGGCAAAATTGCTACTATATCATCTTTACTATTATATAAAGAGAGAAAATATACACAGATAGACTGACTGACTGAATCATCAACGCACAGCCGTAACGACTGGACCTAGAAAGGTTTTTGGACAGTAGGTTCCTATTATTGCCTAGACAAGTAATAAGAAGGGATTTTTTTCAAATTCAGCCTTTTAAACGTGAAATTTGCAAAAAACGATTGTTTGTAAAATCTTATCGCCTAGATCTATTGACTGCAAATTTTGCCTTAACATTATTAAATAGATGTACGCTAAGCCTGTAATATAAAAAAAACACAAATACCCTCAAAAAATCCCAAAATTTCGTGTCAAAGTTTGTATGGGAGTACATCCGAAAGTACATAGGATTGATTAAAATTTTTCACACTTACTCTGCATATAATTAAAATGCTATCTGTGTTTTTATTTTTCGAAACTACCCTCATAAAATAAATATATAGCATGTTGAAGTTTTAAATAGTGCGTCAACGCACGCCTACAGTTTTGGTCGTAGAGACATGGTATTTAGTAATTAGGTTATTTAAATGACGTAGGCATCAAGAGAGAAAGGATTTTTAATTTTCCACCGTGAATTGGGTGATATAGGGATTTAAAGTTCGCACATGAAAACGAGTTTGCCTAGCTTGATAGCTTTGAAACTTGGCTTAGATAAACTTAACTGAAACTAAATTAACGTGTTTCATATTTTTTTAAATTCGATCCTAACGATGAGAAATAAGGATAGCAAGTTATCTCTAAAATATATTCAGCAGATTTGCTCTAATATGTTATTAACTACCAGCTGCGCCCCGCGGTTTAACCCGCGAAGTTCCCGTTTCCTTCGGAATTCCGGGATAATAAGATATTCAACCTGAATGCCTAAAATAAACTCTTTGCTAAACAGAAAACTCAGGATGGCCAAGCCCATGGCCAAATAGATTTAAGATACTACTTAACCTATTTACTTAGAAAGTTTTTGCTAAGCTGATATGAAGGGTGGCTATGCCCAAGAAGATTTCAGATATTCGACCTGTTTTCATCATTTGCTCTGATTTGTTATTAATTGAATACTCTTAAAGCTTAAACTTTATAATTTGAGATGTGGATGACAATTGGACATAATGTTAAAGCAGTCTTTAGTTTACCAAATATATATATTTATATGCCTTCTTCTATATCTATACTTCTATCTATGCTATACTATCTATACTCTATACCAGGGTAGGCAAACCCTTATGCGTCAACGTGCATTTTTTTCTAAATAATGTTTAATGGTTTCATTGACGTGCCACCAAATAATTTTGACATTCTGATTATTTGAAAAATAATAATAATATATACTATCAAAACTCATCAACACATTCTTTACACATGTTTTATGATCGGCGAGGTGCCCAAAATATTGTGTCACATGTGGTTCGCCTACCCTGCTCTATACTATTACGAGTATTTATAGAGAGAAAGAGGAGCTCGATGGCGCAGGTGGTGAGCGCGTTCGGCTGCGATCGTTGTGGTTAAGCAACTTTCGCGGTGGTCGGTCATTGGATGGGTGACCAAAAATTTCTATCTCGAGTTCCTCCGTGCTTCGGAAGGCACGTTAAGCCGTTGGTCCCGGTTGCATCTGCAGTCGTTAGCACCCACCAATCCGCACTGGGCCCGCGTGGTGGGTCATGGCCCAATCTCCCTATTCCATCCATAGGGAAGGCCTGTGCCCCAGCAGTGGGGACATTAAGAGGCTGATGATGATAGAGGGAAAAGGATACACTGACTGACTCATCTTGACCCATTTAAAAAATATTTCACTAATAGCAAGTTTTATTGTAAATTCATTGTTTCCATAGTATTTAATACACCCGTGTGAAGCTGGGACGGGCCGCTAGTAGTGTAATGAAGTCAAACTTAAAGAAGCTCGGCGAAAAGGGGGAGGGGGGGGGGCTGCTAATAAGTCACATTTATCTGAAAATACAAAATGTGTCTGGACAACATCATATGCCTTACGCTATTGTAATGTATGGATATGTTGTATGTATTAATAGCAATTGTATTTTTGTTCCAGATCATGCGAATACTACTGCTCTGTACCCTCCTAGGGGTAGCCTTAGGAGACAACGATTGGCAACCAATTATGCCCGAAGAGTTATCCTACAGCTCCTTTGTGAAGTCACCAGAACGGTCTTTGCAACAAAGGTAAATGTTAATTAATTATAAACTATTATGGTTGGTTCTAAGAGAGATTCCACGTTTGCTAGAGACATCCGAAACACAATTGATGCATGCGTTGTTAATTTAGAGATTAATGATGTAACACGAGGTGCGGTTCCTCTGTGGAGCAGATTTGCGAATCGGGATAAGGGGCCCATGAATTATATAGATACTAATAATCTTGAATATGAAGTTATTAGGTATTATAGAAAGACCTATTTCAATATGAACAGTAACTAATTTCTATGTTAGAGAGCGCGTTTCAAAACCATAGTACACACAAACATACGTAGGTATAGAATTATTATTTCATCTAAGCCTATGGCAAAGTGACTGGCGACAACAACAGAAATTCTTTGAAGTATACTTACCTATTTGAAATCTGACTGAAAAATCTAACAGAAAAACGGTTCCATTTCCAATTCTTTTCATAATATTATCCATTTTGCTTACAATGAATTATATTTATTTACCAATCGTGTGTGTGAACACATTTGGAAGCAGGGAAAAGAAATTGAATCACACAGCCATTCATCATACGCCTTTTTTATTCAGAGCCTAAGTGGTAGAGAGTTACAAAAACCTATTGCGATAAAGATATTGTGATTCACCAAGCACTATGATCTTGCCGCTTGCTAATGTCCCAACTCCTAAGTATTCTATTAGTAACAGTACTTCCTTACTTACTGCAAAAATACACAGCTATCTGAATTGATATAAAACATAACCTTTCACGACCTCCATGGCGTGAGTCACAACACAGAAACCTCTTTTTGAGATCTATGGTGTGGTATCGCCATCGGTTTTCAGGATGTCTCCTACTCAGTTGTCCAGTTTAGAATCCCGGTGGGGCAATGATCTGATGATATATGTAGACTGTCTGTTAACCTCAAGTTATATCCTATTAAACAATCCTTGGTTATAGCACCAAGGATTGTTTTGATGCGAGTGCTAGAAATATTTATTTATCTAATTATATAATTCTTTACGATCATGCTTAAATCAATTCTTTCAACAGCAGTCTCAAGATACTGAACCGCCGTCCATCACCGTCATACTCCAGCAACAAGTTGTCCTCGTCGATAAACTTGGCGCCGCCGCTCGGCAGCGACTCCTGCAGCGTCTACAAGGTGTCCATGAACCAAGAGCTGTTCTACCAGTACATGGAGTACGAGAAACGCCTGCCCGACCTCAAGGAGTTCACGCTCTGCGCTTGGACCAAGTTCCACAACCATTCCGCTGACCATCCACTATTCTCCTATTCGGGTAAGGGCCTTCAAGACATTTGCATACTTCCTCAATTTGAAACGCCTGTTCAACCTCAAGGAATTTCACACTCAGTGCGTGGACCAAGTTCCACAACCATTCCGCTGATCATCCACTGTTCTGCTATTCGGGTAAGGGCCTTCAAGACATTTGCATACTTCCTCAATTTGAAATGCCTGCCCGACCTCAAGAAATTTCACACTCTGTGCGTGGACCAAGTTCCACAACTATTCCGCTGATCATCCATTATTAGCAGGTAAGGCCCATAAAGACATACACATACCTACTTCTTATTATATATTATTAGATATTTGACCGCCCCGATGAAGTGGAACAATTCTTTTTTAATAGATTACAGTATTTTTAACTCAAAGTCTATTTATACACGACCTGATTATTCCTATAAAGATAGGGTAATTTACATAACAATTTGCGTGAAAAAGTAATTAGGAATACATTGTCTTAATTTATAACGAATATTAGGATAAATAATTATAATGAAAATATAAAATCATGATTTGAACATTTCATGCAAATCCATAGGGACCCAGTAAAGCGATAGGTTGAAGCCGCATTGCGAAATATCACAACGCGATTTTCCTCGTAAAATTTTGTGACGTATGGAAATCATATCAGATCAAATGCATTATGAGAGAAAATAAATTGACTAATACGAATTTCAGAACATGATTCATATTTCTATATTCTTAGGATGATGAAAAAATAAAAGTAGGTGGCACAACAGAAGTTCATAAAGAGACATAATACAATCTATTAGGATACTATCATCGTTCCACACCATGTATAATCCATACTGCTCTATTGCCCTTCAAGCTCCGAGACGATAAAATCTACTAGACAAGCGTGCTGATTCTTCGGCCTCTTTAATCATCATCTGTAAAGCCAATGGCACCGTATAGATTTTATGAAAACTGCGGTATAAAATTGACTCACTCTCATAGTAAATTCGTATCCATTCATTGGCCTTTTGACGTGACAACGTCTTAAATTAGGTTGCGGCTGGGAGTCACTTATGAAAAAGTGTAACGCTCGGTAACGTTACGATGAGTTTAAGTTTACATGTACAATGTTTTAGTAAACAAAATATATTTCTATAGTTAAAATTTGTGCAATTCTTATTTTCATTCAATTCCTTGTTCCTATTGTGCAATTTAATTATATTCATATCAATAAATATTCTACCGAGAAAAAGACGTTGTCACGTAAAATCTTCGCCCGTAAAACCGACTTTACAGGCAACCATTTTTTTCATGAGTGTTTGCTAATGGGTTGATCTAGGAATACTGATGCGATGAGTAAGAGAGAAATATAATGAAGAGTCATACAACGAATTTGGAACAACTCCTTTAAAGGTAGACTTCAACTATGTGTATTTTATGTAATGGGTTACAGTTTCATCAATGTTTCATAAATTTTGAATTAAACCTGAGCTTCATTCAGTATTCAGTGTGGTAGTATAGATCGTTAAATGCCGTTTACATTGTAACGAGCTTTTGTTCTTGCGACGATCCAAGTCCATTGATATTTACAATCGTAATTGATATTTATGCATCGAATTGAAACCATTCAATTGTCTTACCCAGTGCTGATCGATTTTAAGAACCATCACTGTTTCGAAGTACTTGTTACTCGATCTATAGTGTTTGTTTTTATCCCATTTTGAAGTGAAAACTTCTTTAGCGGCTTTGTACACTTTTCTTTTGTATGGGTAAAAAGAGTTAAACTTGCGTCAGAACACGTGACCTAAATGAAAATTCGTAAGACGAAAACAATAAAATTGGTAGGGTTGTTGACTTTCAATATATTGGACGAAACCTAGTAATATTTTATTTTATCGTATTATAATAATAAGTTTCTACCTAGGATGTCCAGGTGGCAGTTTTATTGCGAAGAAAATGCGTTTTTTTACAATAGATGTCGCTAGGTGCGATTAAATGTGATTCATGTAAGTTGATTTTTTTACAATAGATGTCGCTAGGTGCGCTTAAATGTGATTCATGTAAGTTGATTTTTCTGTGAGATAAACTTTTTAATGTAATATAAATTGTCATGTTCGTGTACGATAGCGCAATAAATAAATATTGTATTCTACCACATAAATGATAGTAGTTTTATACTGATAATTAAGCAATTCGTGCACAATTATTCCCTAACCATTCCAAAATAATAAAAATGCACAACGTTAATATTCAAGTTTTCACTTCTGCCGGCACTCCCGGAGTGCAACCCGACCGTTTTGCAAAAAAATCAGTGAGTAACTTTTGATTCTAAAGTGTATACACATGACAATTTTACTATATAAGTAAGAACTTAATTAATATGAGTTAGTATTATTAAAATAAAATAAAAATAAATATTTCTAATACTCACACCAATTAGCCTAGCCCCAAAGTAAGCACTGTAATGGGATTATGGGATACTAAGGTAACGGATAGAATACATATACTCTACATAAATAAGTATAATTTTTATTTTTACTTGGTTCGCAGAACATCTTTAAAATGGATAGGATAGGAATGGCACCTGGCGGGTGTGCGGCCATTCGGAGACGGGTTCCGCGACCACACCCGTCCTGTCGGCATGCACTAGGGGGCACCGCGGTCCTCATAGTGGGTGTCGGGTGACGGTGCAGGAGTATTGTCTGGTTTTTAACCATTACTTTATGCTTACCGTTACACTAGTTTAAATTGAGGGTTCGGCAGATACAAGTTATTCCAAATGTACAGTCGCATTAAACATTTTAAACGATCGATTCCAAATCTGAGAGTTATGGGACAGTAGTTACGCTCGAAAGCAACTTTGGATATATTATTTCTCTTTTATATGTAGATGAGGAAAGTAGCTATTATTGGGCAATACTCTGCCTTATAATACCATTGTCTTACTTTAAAACGGGGCGGCAAGCTAGTGCGAAGGGCGGAACCTTCCTGGCCCGTGCTTATAACCTACCTGTAATTACTGCTGCCTATCTTATAACTCTGGCTACGGCCCTCATATTCGATTTCGGTATATGACTATATTTTACCGAAATCGTTATAGTTAGATAAAAAAAAAACGTGTGCGTCTCGGGACGCACGTCAAAAAGTGATAACTTTAACAAATCTAAGCGGCTCTGCAGGTTAGAGTGGGAGAGGAGAAGCCTGCCTACCCGCTGCCGTATGCAGAAGATTGTATGAAGTAGATGAAAAGAAGATTGGAGGATGAAAAGGGGGATTGGAGGGTGAAAGAGATTCGAGGGTGATAAGGGGATTGGTGGATGATAATGGGGATTGATGGGTGATAATAGGGATTGATAGGTGATAATATGGGATTGGTTGGTGATAGTGGGGATTGATGGGTTAGGGAGTGGGGTAATTCTGGGGACATCCCTCTGGTACCTGGGCGGGATTTGGCGTCTATCTCATTTCGCGGCGAAGCCAAACAGACTAGCGCCGTAACGCGTTACGGTAACGCCGTAAATTATCACTTCAAAAATAGAAGCATTGTAAAATTAAATACGAGCAAAGATATTAGAATCGGAAACCAAAAGTAGTGATTCCGTTTAATGTTTTTAAGTGTAGCTTTAGAAAAATATAACTGGGAGTTGGAAACATTTATCAAGTAGGCGTGCGGTGATTTTAATGAGATGTATTTCTCGGCAAGTGTCTGTTAATATGTAAACGGCGAGCTTGGATTACCGTACAAGGAATCAAAGTAACTCTATGTTTGCTGCCTAATCTGCAACGTTTTTATGTGTTTGTCAGTTTTCCATAAGGTTTTCCATAATTAATCTTATCATACGTTTACATTATTCATAATATGTCACGTTACGAATTCGATATTTGTTCGTGCTAAGGGTACTTACAGTATCGAATACGTAAAATTTGCGAGTCCGAAATGTCATTGTCAAATGTGTACTGATTTATAGTTCTCGTTACGTACTTTGTGGAGCGCTACTGTAAAAGTTGCCATACAAAATTTGACATTGACATTTAGCACTCGCAAACTATTCGAATTTGATAATGGTTCGTGCTAGGGGTACTGATCAATTTGTCCATCACTGCTATAATAATATTATCTCTGGCGAATCCATTCTTTTCGTTTCCCAATAGCTTAGTTTTTAAATTACCTTGTGTTGCAATCAAAACATATATAATATAAGCCATTCGAGTATTTATTATGCGTGATGTACGAGGTAATTAAAGTTTGTTTCAATGTTTTATATACTATACAGGCACTTTTATTAGCTTGTTCAACACTTACTTAATTCCTTAATTTGTAATAAATATTATTATTGCAACAATACATATTTCAGTAAATGTATAAAGCCTCCAAGGTTATTAGTAACTTTAAAAAAATAAATGAGGCTGTTTTTCATATTAGAAACAAAATTCTCGACCGTGAATTTGTTAAATTCTCTAATTTGTTACCAAATTTATTGTTTGATCAAACGCTAATTGCTTTTTTTATATTCCTCCCTTAGTTTTACATGTATGGGAACACAGGTTAACACAAATAAATATTATATTTGAGGATATAATGTCATAAATCCGTTAACTGTTTGAACATAGTCCAGAAAGTAATTAATTGGCTATTAATTTATCGAATCACACCCCGCACATAAATAAATTTTTGGGTAACTATTCAGAAACAGAAAAAATGTTGAAGAATTGCCAAACATTCAGTTTGGTTTAAATTTTTAGCTTCAAAGTAGTATTTTAAGAAGAATATGCACGTTGCAAAAACTACAATAAGACATTTGAAAAATTTCACACATACGAGTAGACTCTTTGTTTTGCTTTGGCACATTATTATAAGATAAATAAGCAAGGCACATGCGATTTCTCACATTGGTGGTGCATTTACAACCGATGAAAGAGCTTTTAAGCTTCCCGGGATATAGACCTAGGGACAGGGTGAGCAACACTTATATCGCCAATACTTTAGTATCGAAACCTTTACACAATATGGCGACTGCTTACTATCAGCGGCATCATATACTAACATGTTTACCAAAAAAACTAAGAGCACATCTTCTGTTACTCCTTCGAATAGGACGGACTGTAAGTTAATTTTTAATAAAATCGGGAGACTTTTATGGAAATATTCTCAGTAAAAAACATACACCCTATACTGCATTAAAAAAATAAACTAACATTGCGTCCTATTAGGAAAAATAACAGCAGTCGTATTTTTTTTATTATTTAATTTTTATTTTAAGCATTTTAGTGCCTTGTAATTTAATATGTATTTGAGGTAATAAATGTATTTTCTATTATTTCTCACATTTTACAGGTAAACCCTTTGATTAATGCTACTATATTTATACATATAAATTAGTAAAATATACATACGTTGTTATAATAATTGTCATTTTTACATTCTTGTTGTTTCAATTTTAACAGTTTAGGTATCCAATGTTACTCGGGATTGTGAAAAGATTATAACGATACCACACACATTTGAATCGGCTCAGACATTTATAAGTTACTAGCGGCCCGCCCTCGCTTCGCTTCGGTGTAGAGCTGAAGTGTAGACTACAGTTTTTGTTCTCAGGCTTGTATTATACACAATGACATTCATCTATGGTTCTTCTTATACCTGCATGCAAAGTCTCAGCCCGATCGGTTTAAAATTGAGAAACTTTCATACAAACTTTCATTCCCTATTTTATCCCCTTGGGGGTAGAATTGATCAAAATCCTTTCTTAGCGGCCTACGTCATAACATCTACCTGCATGCCAAATTTCAGCCCGATCCGTCCAGTGGTTTGGGCTGTGCGTTTATAGATCACTATGTCAATCAGTCACCTTTGAGTTTTATATATATAGATAGATGGTGGAATAATGAATTGTACCAACATACATAGACCCTGAAACCTATACACTCTTTTTTTTGAGAAATCGTGTAAAAATGGCAGCATTTATAGAAGAACCGATATTTTTTGGTGAACATCAATAATATACAAGCTTATATAAATTCGCCTTTATGTATGTTGCGGCAGTCTGTTTTATTGCAGACTGCTGTTACCCTACTTATGCGCATGCATAACTTGCGAAATGAGAATACACGATCGTGCTACAGTTTCGTGATTGCATAATGCGACGTACCGAGGAGCGAGTCCCGTGATCGGAGACTCGGACCGATGCTGTCCGAAACCGGACCGTTTACCTTTCTCTTCGTACTTTTTTTCAGTAGCCTTGGCATTTTTATAAATTGTTATTGATATTATGTTATACATACTAACTGTACGTATCGCTTTCATTATATTTTGTATTTGACAAATTTCGCAACGGTTATTATATTAAATTTATCAGTTTTCATTCTTTTTATTTTGCTCTTAACGGAAAAACCGGATAAAACGGTAATAGTAATCATTATCATCATCATCAGCCTATTAATGTCCCTACTGCTGGGGCACAGGCCTTCCCTATGAATGGAATAGGGAGATTGGGCCATGACCCACCACGCGGGCCCAGTGCGGATTGGCTGGTGCTAACGACTGCAGATGCAGCCGGGAGCAATGGCTTAACGTGCTTTCCGAAGCACGGAGGAACTCGAGATAGATGTTTTTAGTCACCCATCCAATGACCGACCACTGCGAAAGTTGCTTAACTTCAACCATCACAGCCGAACGCGCTAACCAACTGCGCCATCGACCTCCTCAAGGTAATAGTAATAACTGTAGAAAATTCTATTAAACGCCGATACTTCTGGATCTAGTTGTAATTTTATACCTACAAGAGACCTAGTAACGAAAACGAAAATATTTTTTATCATAATCCGTGTATCTTTTCGACAACAATACAATTTAATGATACTTGTTGATCGAAGGTGAACATAAACTGGCATTACCAGATTTGTTACTTAAGAGAGAATAAAAAGCTTCATAACAGAAAAATTTACCGCCGAAAAAACTAAAACGCTGAGAGAAATAAACCTTTTTTAGCTTTAGTCAAATTAATATTTGGAGTCGACCAACTCATACAAAAATTTGCACATTAAGGTTTAATATTTCACGAACGGATCCTTACACAAAAAAGCGTCGAATTGACAACCTCCTCTGTTTGTTTCGTCGGTTGCAAATACAATAAACTAAAGAATTCGCTTGTACAATCAGCCAATTTGATTCCTGACCCACCACAAACTTATTTTGACACACTTGGCTTGTTAATTTTACCAATTCACATTAAAAATATCTTTAAATAACGTTATTTTATTTTGCTAATTTAAATACCGATAAAATTTTTAAAGATAAACAGGAAGGTAACAGAACGTTACCGTAACTATATTATAACGTTATTTTTAACGGTTATCAAGTAACTGAACGATTCTTTAACGTTAATAATAACGATACTTGTAAATATACCATTTACTTCGCCGACGTTACTTTATCTAAGCATTTTGATGTGTCAAAAATTGTAACTTGCTTAGAGCCTTAATTAGAAGTGACGGTTTCTAACCATCCGTCTCTTATCAGAATTGTATAAATATAAAGGCAATAAATATCGTTACCGATATAGGTAATTAACGTTACTTTCCGGTAAAATAATACAAAAGTAACGTTACCTCATAAATAACTTTGAAAACAATGATAACGGTAAAAGTTTTAACAGATATTTATAATGTTTCCAAAGTAACGTTAATTGGAGTATCGTTATTCGCCGCCCTCCAGTGACCAAATTTGACATTAAACTATTTGGAGTTTTGCCCATGGACTGAGGATTTACCAACGTTTTTATAATGTCAAGAAATCGAAAGATTTTCTGTTACCTTTACGATTTTAAAAGTAATTTCGGGTTTCAAATTAGTATTCCAATTTTATCTATAACTCTTACTGACCCGTCGAACTCCGTGTCGCCTAACAGTCGATAACTGTGAGTAAAAAGGTTATAGTTAATCAAACCTAAAATATGGACATTTATAGCACTTCTAGACTTGTATTATAGAAAGTCAGTGATTGAACTAGTCTTGAGCATAGTGAGAAAGGGATGTCGCTATATTAAGCACATAGCGATATCCCTTTCTAACTGTACTCAAGTAAAGATCAACACTTAGTTGTCATTCTGTAATACGGACCTTAGAGTGCAACAATTCAGTCATACATGATTTTTGTGTATTAACCATTTAGGCAGCGCACGCAACGGAAGCTCTCAAATGGTATATTTTCTCCCGTTTTTGCAGCATTTTTCATTGAATCTTCGCTTCTTCTGGTCGTAGAGTGATGTTATATAGCCTTCCTCAATAAATGCACTATCCAACAAGATTTTTTCAAATCGGTCCAGTATTTCCTGAGATTAGCGCGTTTAACCAAACAAACAAACTCTTTAGCTTGATCTATTATTACATTGAAAATAAAGGTCAAATTTTAAAGATCTATCATCAATATTAACACAGTTTGCCTGTAATTAGAAGGCCCTAAGTGCAATTACACATTCTCTACAAAGGAAAACATGTCTCTTTTTGCTAAGTGGGTCAGGTATCAGTTGGTTCGATGGTACATACATCAAGACCAGAGATTTAGTATATTAATGTCTTTGACATACATTAACAGCAACAAAACACTGCATATCAAGTTTGTTCTCCAATTAATAATGTCAATGTTTATTTCATCATCGTCATCATCAGCCTTTTAATGTTCCATCCATACTTCTGGGCACAGGTCTTCCCTATGGATAGAATAAGGAGATTGTGACCCACCACGCGGACTTAGTGCGAATTTTTGAGTACTAACAACTGCAGATGCAGCCGGGATCAACGGCTTAAATTGCCTGCCGAAGTACGAAGGTATTCGAGATAATAAGTTTTTGGTCACCCATCCAATCTGAACGAGCTAACCATCTTCGCCATCGAGCTCCGCATTTGCGGTCGTGGAGATTAAGCAACTATTGCCATGGCCAGTCCTTGGATGGGTGACCAAAAAAAAACAATCTCAAGCTCCTCTGCAGACAGAATGCCGTTAACATCTGCACCATCAAGCTCTTCATCTGCGATCGTGGAAATTAAGCAACTTTTGCAGAACCTGTCGTTGGATGGGTGACCAAAAATTTATTATCTCGAGCTCCTCAGTACTTTAGATGGCATTTCAAGCTGTTGGTCGCGGCTGCATCATCGTTAGCACACGCCTATTCGCACTGGGCCCGCAATTGTGAACCTGTTTCACCATTTTTCTGATGATTTTAAAATTAATTATCTTTTCACTAAAATACTTATATTATCAGAGCTTCATGATATTCAAACCATAACAAATAAAGTTTTATCGAAAATGAAACAAATATTTATTGTATACAGTTGGCGATAACCCACGGGAGATTTTAGCGTGGATCTCAAACACTAACGAGGCGAGTTACTTCAGCATGGCTGTCCACGGGCAGACATTCTTCAGGCTCAACTACCCATTGAAGTTGAACAAGTAAGTGAGAACTAATTTTCATTGAATTGAATAATAAATAATTTTAATTATTCATACAAAAATATTCGAATGTCGAATAAAAGTATTTATTCGTTATTGGAATAACGAATAAAATGAAAACAAGAAATATAATCAAAGGGCAGTTTTGACAAATAATATTTGTTTTTTAATTAAAACTAGTTTTAACGGGTCAATGCACGAAACTTTATTTATTTATTGACGTTTCGCAGCCTCTTCAGGTCTGCTTCGTCAGAATAATGCAAAGACCTGAAAAGGCTGCGAAACATCAATAAATAAATAAAGTTTCGCGCATTAACCCGTTTAAACTAGTTTTATTTAACGACTGATGTGCGTGAAAACCTAAGAAACAACTTTGTTTTTTAATGTTCATTTTCATCATTTTCTTTAGTCTTAAGTAGGAACATTATGAATTTCAAAACAGCGACCAAGTGCGATTCGGACTCGCCCATGAAGGGTTCCGTAGCAGCAAGTAACATAATATAAAACCTGGCCCCCGCGCGCTCTGCACCCGCTACCGATCAAGCCACGCTACGCGCGAATTATAATTATTTACTTAGGCACCTATTAGGCAGATTTATTATTACAAAATAATGGTTCACGGTTTATGCATAACGTTTATGTTTAAGAAATTCAGTGATTTTTTTATACACAGTCAGTCAGGTCATAAGTATTGTCACACAGTAAAAACTTTTCTTTTAGAATGCTGGCCACAAAATACTTTTTAGAATTTTACTCATTTTGGAACGAAAGTTCCTTATGGCAGGCTTGGAGGGATAGGGATTTTGCTGCGCGACCGAACTGAAAAAAATGTGATAGTAAAACCGTATGAAAAAATGCGTGGAATAAAACCGTTAAATGAGACGTGCGCAGACGCGACGAAGTTCCTTACGGCAGGCTTGGAAGGGATAGGGATTTTGCTGCGCGACCGAACTGAAAAAAATGTGATAGTAAAACCGTAAGAAAAAATGCGTGGAATAAAACCATTATGAGACGTGCGCATAGGGGGTGGTAGAGCGACGAGGGTGCATCACTGAAATATTGTGATATTACACCAACACTGAATATGTGTGAAGTTACAGGGGGTGGTAGAGCGACGAGGGTGCATCACTGAAATATTGTGATATTACACCAACACTGAATATGTGTGAAGTTATAGGGGGTGGTAGAGCGACGAGGGTGCATCACTGAAATATTGTGATAGTACACCAACACTGAATATGTGTGAAGTTATAGGGGATGGTAGAGCGACGAGGGTGCATCACTGAAATATTGTGATATTACACCAACACTGAATATGTGTGAAGTTATAGGGTGTGGTAGAGCGACGAGGGTGCATCACTGAAATATTGTGATATTACACCAACACTGAATATGTGTGAAGTTATAGGGGGTGGTAGGGCGACGAGGGTGCATAACTGAAATATTGTGATATTACACCAACAGTGAATATGTGTGAAGTTATAGGGGGTGGTAGAGCGACGAGGGTGCATCATTGAAATATTTAAATATGGAGTGGACGCTTAAAGAAGACCGTGTTGCAGTTATTGCGTTAATTAAAATTTTTGACATACTGAAAAATTTAAATATAACCAAAAGATTCGTTTATCGTACCATCAAACGATACAATAATAATAATAATAATGTTTATTCAACAAACCTTACAAGTACTATTACAATATGATCTTAAAATAAACATGGAATGGTTTGCTATCTTATAGTCTTATAAGTAGGACCCCTGACTTTCATGCTAGGTAAGACCTGTGTTATGAAAGGCAGTGGTTCGATTCGAGACACCGGATGATTACAAAAACGTTATTAATTAATGTGTGTGTGAGTGTGTATGTGTTTGTGTGTATATGTGAGATATTGTGTGTGTTGTAATAATGTCATCTATATTTTAAAGTAGTATATGTTCCGTTTCACTGTAAGTGCGGGTTAGTATCCACTCTTTTACCTTGATCTTATAAAGTTATAAAGATCTCATCTTATCTTATAAAGTTTATTAATGTTAAGAATTTGGTTAATTTTGTTATACATTCTAGTGTGTGTCGATAAACTTTGTCTATTTGCAAAACTAGTTCTACAGTGGATGCGAGGGCAAACAGGTTTTGGTCGTCTTCTGCTTGTTTTGTCATCATCACGCACAGGTGTCTTAGCGTGTTGTCTTAAAGTAGACCTTAGAATGTATATTTGTCTTACGGTCGGAACCTGGGCGGTTTTATATAGGCAGTTTGTTGGATACCTATACGGCTTTCTATATATTACCTTTAAGACAGCTCTTTGTGCCCTTTCAAGATTAATAAGCATTGTTTTTGAAGCAGCCCCCCAGACGGAGATACAGTAAGACAACAAAGATTCACATTCAATTTCGAAGCTTTTTGAATATGTAAATTAGTTTCCGAATACGACTGCTTACACTTTGCAACTGATTAAGACACTGATCCAGTATAACCCCAAGATATTTGATTGAGTCAGTTTGTGTTAGCGATTGACAACTGCATTCAGCTGCTCTGCACCGACCTACATGTGCTCTGATCCTGATTTGATTCGATGCTGGTTGCAAGGATGGTCGTGACGAGAATGCTAAATATTTTGTTTTACCTAAATTAAGTGATAGTTGGTTACTTTGAAGCCAACTCGTGATTAGTTCGATCGCATTCTCAGTCATTCTCGCAGTCTCCGTCCACGTTTTTCCATGTGTAATTATTGCCGTATCATCTACGTAAGCAAATATGTGTGAATTAGGAATTGTCATATCGCACAGTTCATTCACGTAAATTTGAAAGAGTGTAGGTCCCAATATGCTCCCTTGGGGCACTCCATAATCTTTCAGTTCCACCTCCTGGGTGATGTAAGATCCAATTTTTGTGCACTGGGTACGATTTGTCAAATAATCTTTAAATATATCCAATACCGTTTCTCTGACTCCTATGGCTTCGAGTTTTCCGATCAGTAGCGGGATGGAGACGGTGTCGACAATGAAGACTCTAGTATAGATGACAGGTCAAGAAGTGGTCGCCCTGGGTCTGTTAGGACTCCAGCAGTGATAAAAGCTGTGAAGGCGCGAATTCAAAAGAAATCCCAAACGTAAGCAGAAACTGTTGGCCCTTCAGATGGGGTTAAGCAGAACCACGGTGAAAAGGGTGTTAAATGAAGACTTAGGGCTTCGGGTATATCGAAGAAAAACAGGACATCGTTTGAATGCTCGTCTAATGGACCTGAGACTGAAGAGATGCCGCGCTTTTTTGAAGCGGTACGCGGGAAAAAAATATCGGTAAATTCTTTTTTCGGATGAAAAAATATTTACCGTAGAAGAGAGCTACAACAAACAAAATGATAAGGTGTACGCACACAGTAGTGAAGAAGCGAGAAACCGCATTCCGCGTGTCCAACGAGGTCATTTTCCATCCTCGCTCATGGTATGGTTGGGAGTTTCTTATTGGGGCTTAACAGAGGTACATTTTTGTGAGAAAGGTGTAAAAAAGACGCAGTTGTGTATCAAAATACAGTCCTAGTGAACCTCGTGGAACTTGTTTCTCATACCATGTTCAATAACAGACACTGGGTATTCCAACAAGATACTGCGCCAGCTCATAGAGCGAAAAGCACACAAGACTGAGAAAATCTGAGAGAAAACGACTTCATCCGGCAAGAAGACTGGCTCTCCTCCAGTCCAGATTTGAGTCCGTTAGATTACAAGATATGGCAACACTTGGAGGAAAAGGCGTGCTCAAAGCCTCATCCCAATTTGGAGTCACTCAAGACATCCTTGATTAAGGCAGCCGCCGATATTGACATGGACCTCGTTCGTGCTGCGATAGACGACTGGCCACGCAGATTGAAGGCCTGTATTCAATTGCCATAAGAATCTATGTTTTGTTAAGTTCATTTTGGTATATAAATGGTTACATAATGAATAAACTTGTTTCAATTATTTTATATTAAACATGTGACAGAATTTATGACCTGACTAGGTATATATTTGAGTTGATTGAATGAAAGGTAAATAGCGGTTTACCTTTCATCCAATACCAACCCAGGTAGCGGAGTAACAAAGAATTTTAGAACACTATAATATATGTTTTATTAGTAACAGATTTTCCTCTACATAAACATACAGTGTCAGTTGGGAGACACTTAAACATTAACATACTTATCGACCACCAGATGGTCAAATCTACAGTCACGATTGTGTGACACTACACTACGCAACGTGGTCACGATTTTGGTTACATTACACACTTCGATTGATAAAATATTTAAACGTGACGAATAATAAATGTTTGCATCCCAGTAAGATTAATGTGTGGTTATTCAATACTTAGGTGTTGAGAGATTGCACAAGGCTATTTCATAAGGGTAAGGAGACACTATAGGAGGATGATGGCATCAACAGGACCATATTTCTCAAAAATAGGATACTATACTTAAATATAAACAAAAAGGGAAGATACGGCAGATACAGATAGCGGCTTAAAAGAGTACCACTTAAATTGTGATGCATGACAACAATTCGCATTAGTCACAATTGGACATTCAAACGCGCTGCTGGTGCACTCAATAAAACGATATGTATTGCGTATATCCTGTGTAATAAAGATAAAACAATGCCTTCCATGCTTTAAGAAAGAACACAAATAATTCAAGATCATAAACAAATTCCACGACAAAACTTTTCGTACTATTAGTTAAACTAAAAAACGTTTTATTTTCAAAATGTACGGGTTGTCAAGAATGTTATTTACTTATTCGCCATTTGTTATCCAGAAAAGGACAACAATACAGCTCAGCCGTTTGTAGAGAGAGAAAAGAAAACGCATTCGATTGCCAACCGATGCGGACTTATCGTTTCGCTCGCGCTGCGTTGAAGCACGGTTGAAGCATGCAGTTCTGTCTCGCTCGCCCGATTGAATGTTTATTTACAGAAGTGTGTTAGGCCCGTATTACAGAATGACAACCAAGTGTTGATCTTTACTTGA